AAAAAGAAGAAAAGAAAAGAAAATGGATGAAGGACTCAAGTAGATATTTCTCCAAAGAAGATACACAAATGGCCTGTGAGCACATGAAAAGATGCTCAACATCACTAAATACAAGGGAAATGCAAATCAAAACCACAATGAGGTATTACTTCATATCCATTAGAATGGCTACTATCAATTTTTTTTTTTAAAGGGAAGGAAAGAATCAGTGCTGGTGAGGATAAAGAGAAACTGGAACTCTTGCACATTGTTGATGAGAATATAAAATGGTACAGCCACTATTAAAAACAGTACAGCAGTTCTTCAAAAAATTAGAAATAGAATTACCGTACAATGCAAAAATTCCACTTCTAGGTATATAACTAAAGGAATAGAAAGCAGGGTCTCAAAGAGAGTTTTGTATACCTAGGTTCATAGCAGCATTATTCACAATAGTCAAAGATGGAAACAACACAACTGTCCAACAATGGATGAATGGATAAACAAAATGTGGTATACACATAAATGGAATATTAATCAGCCTTAAAAAAGGAAGGAAATTCTGATACATGCTACATGAATGAACCTTGAGGATACTATGGTAAATGAAATAAGCCAGTCATAAAAAGACAAATACTGTAGGATTTCACTTGTATGAGGTATCTGCAGTAGTCAAATTTATAGAGACAGAAAGTAGAAGGGTGGCTGTCAGGGGCTGCGGGGAGGGGGAAGTAGAGAGCTGTTGTTTAATAAATATAGAGATTTAGTTCTGCAAGATATAAAAGTTTCTGGAGATTAGTTATACAACAATGCGAATATGAATACACTTAACACTACTGAACTGTACACTTAAAAATGGCTAAGATAGTAAATTTTGTTATGTGTATTTTATCACATTTAAAAATAGATTAAAAAAAGAAAAATAGGGCTTCCCTGGTGGCGCAGTGGTTGAGAGTCTGCCTGCCGATGCAGGGGACACGGGTTTGTGCCCCGGTCTGGGAGGATCCCACATGCCGCAGAGCGGCTGGGCCCGTGAGCCACGGCGGCTGAGCCTGTGCGTCCGGAGCCTGTGCTCCGCAACGGGAGAGGCCACAACAGTGAGAGGCCCGCGTACCGCAAAAACAAAAAAAAAAGAATTATACTTCATTGGGCTTCACGGTATTTGTGAAAATGGGGCGAACAGTGACTTATCTTCCCTTCAAAATTCCTCTTGAAACTGAAACCACAGGTGAGGAAAGTCTTTATAGTTTCATACTAAGTTTTTAAGATATTTCACATCATCAGGTAATATTCAATTGTCACCACTGTCATGTTTTTTTTTTAATTAATTAATTTTTGGCTGTGTTGGGTTTTCGTTGCTGTACCCGGGCTTTCTCTAGTTGCGGCAAGCGGGGGCTACTCTTCGTTGCGGTGCGTGGGCTTCTCATTGTGGTGGCTTCACTTTTTGTGGAGCATGGGCTCTAGGCACGCGAGCTTCAGTAGTTGTGGCACACAAGCTCAGTAGTTGTGGCTCGCGGGCTCTAGAGCGCAGGCTCAGTAGTTGTGGTGCATGGGCTTAGTTGCTCTGCGACATGTGGGATCTTCCCAGACCAGGGCTCGAACCCGTGTGCCCTGCATTGGCAGGTGGATTTTTAACCACTGGGCCACCAGGGAAGTCCCCACTGTGATGTTATAACATCTAGAGGAGTTTCCCATTGATTAGAAAGGAAAAACATTCCTACCGTTATGATTAGCGGTTCTGCTTTGGTTATATAAATTTCTTTTTTTTTTTTTTTTTTTTTTTTTTTTTTTTGCGGTACGTGGGCCTCTCACTGTTGTGGCCTCTCCCGTTGCGGAGCACAGGCTCTGGACGCGCAGGCTCAGCAGCCATGGCTCACAGGCCCAGCCACTCTGCAGCATGTGGGATCTTCCCGGACCGGGGCACGAACCCGTGTCCCCCTGCATCGGCAGGCGGACTCTCAACCACTGCGCCACCAGGGAAGCCCTGGTTATATAAATTTAATGAAATATAAAGTAAGTTTAAAAATCCTTCGAAGTGTCTTGAAACAACCTATAGGCTGCTTATCAAGTTGAAAAGCAGAGAAACCATACAGAATCAAAAAGAACTTGGAGAAGCCATGTTCCCTAGAATTGGCAAACATGTTCTGTGGCTTCGAACAGATGAAAACTGAAGCAGTCAAGGAACTCAGATTGCAAAGAATGTCACCCACTCCAGAATGGCTATTTCTTCTAAAATTTAATATTTTGGAGCAGACCTAAGAGGAATTGATAACTACGCAACTCGTGAAACAGATGCTCTCAGCATAGCCAACTCTGTTACTGCCATTACTGGCATTCCTATTTCATGAGACCTTTTTGAAATGTTCAGAAACTACCATCATCTTGAAAATGGTATTTCCAAGTAAATATCTTACTGAAAAAAAGGTCGAGAACTCTGGGCATAGGCTGAAAATCTCTGACATTTGGCTGTCCATTTGTTTTTACTGCTTTGGAAGAGAAGCTCCTGACGTCAATGTGACTGGTTGCTTTCTGCATCGGCCGGCATGGGTGCCAAATGCTCTGCCACGGTACTGAATGAACCCTTGCCTAGTGTTGTGAGAAGCATCAACTTCATCGGGACAGTGGGGGCTGAATCATTGCCTTCAGGATCTTTTATCAGGAAAATGGAGCAGAATGAGAGCAGTTCTTCACTTACTAAACAGAAATTTGCTGAATTTCCAGAGGAAAGTCTTGAAATGCTCGATTAGACATTGGGCAGAAATTTTACTTTTTTCAAATAGAAGAGGAAAGCCACTCTCTCACAGTTTCACGTTACTTGGACAATAGTTTTGGTTGTAATATTCTAGTTACAGCCCTGCAGTCAACATCATGTCTGCTGCTGAAGGATGCAGAGCTCCTGTTCTATTCAAGATGGGTCACTAGGAGTTCAGCATGCCTCTGACACTGAGGAAAGACCTTCTGCAATCTGGAATTAAGGGTGGCAATACTTCTTCCAATTCCTCGGCAGGCAGAAGCAAGTATGTGCCAAACTCCTAAACGTTACTTCTGACAAAGATAATTTTAAGATTGAAATGTGGGTTTATAGCCCAAAATTGGTGATATGGATGAACATCAATGACTTGCACTTTGCCAAAGATCAGAACCTCAGTGAATCTGGGAACAGAGGAAATTATTCAAAATAAATTCAACTGTTTCTCAACTCAAGCCTACCCTCATTTGGCCAAGTATGCCACGATAGCTCCATTTGCTCATGCGTGCTTTTATAAGCCACAATAAGCCAAGTGTGCTTTTTTTTTTTTTTGCCACCAAAACAAAACAAAACAAAAAAATCAAAACTGATTGGATGGCAAGCCTGACACATATGCCATCATATCAAAACACTCAAAACTTTCTCCTGCTTCTGTAAGTCAAACTTCAACAGCCTTCATGGTGGAAGTTGGTGATAGTTGAAGCTGAAGTTCAAGTTTTGCTTTGCTTGGAAATTTCTATTTCCTTTTTATCATAAACTAGGTATTAATTTTTGCATTAAAAATGAGTGAGAGGCAGAGGTTTTCAAAGAATGTCATATTTTTCTATGTGTACATAGAAAAGAATGTGTAATTAATATCTAACATCATAAAAATAAATTCTATCTAAATTATTGTACATATGCTTGGGTACTTTTTTGTTAACCTCATAGCTTTCAGAGTCTCAAGGAGCTCTGTGATTCAAAAATCTGAGAAAAACCCCATTCCTCTGATTTAGATATTGACCTCACGTAACAAAATATCATTTCACAACAGTTCAAGAGTTACATGGAAGAAAATCAAACCACAACACTTAGAAGAAAATATAAATGTTTAGCAGATTTCAAGCTGAGAAAAAAGCTTTCTGAACAAAAAAGCAAGAGAAAAATAATAAATAAATAAAAATGGCCATTCTCTAGTTCAATTATTTAATTTCACTTATATCTAAGGGGAAAATCCAAACTGTAAACAGAGGAGGTCATTTTCCCCTGGTCACTAGGGGACCAGTCAATCAGCCACTACCCCTTGCTGTAACACCCAACAGAGGTTTAAAACTATTACACTAGCCATTGTCACTCCATCAGCAGAAACAATACCTCCAGTATATGTACATTTATATTTGTTTATCAGTTGGATATATGTACTAATGTACTAATATATTATATACCTTATAAAATATATACTTAAAAAAAGATGAGATAAAATTAACTACAAATACAAGTTCTAAAGTTTTCTTCCTGCACCCTTGCAGGTGTGTACACCTCCCCATTTTGGGGGCCATTGTTCGGCATGGCGGTGGCTAAACAGGAAGGCCCTGCCACCATTTCCAAAGCTGAGTCTGCATTCTGCTCCCTAGATTGTGTACCTCCTTCACATCTGCCAGCTCTCGGTATCACAACACACTGTTTTACTGTCTTCCTAGTGCAGATAATTATGGGACGTCATCTACTTATTTATGGGTTTATTTGTTTATTCCTACCCCCCCACCCCCCCGACTCCCCAGCTAGAATATAAGCTCCAGGATGGTGCCTGTCTTATTCATTCCTAGTTCCTCCACACCTAGAACAGGGCTTGGTACATAGTAGGTGCTCATTAGGTACTTATTGTGTAATAAGGGTATACAGCTGCTCCCCCACTCAAATTCCAGCTGTTCCCCCTGCTTGGTCCTCCATTCTCCTAGCAGGCAACAGGGCAGGTCCCCTGACCCTCTGCAGGAAGCAAACAATTCCCTATCCTACTTCTTAGCACAGCTTCCACTTTAAAGACCTCTCATGGAGGGTGAGCCACGGAGGACTATCTTGCTCCTCATAGAAAACACAGGCCCCCAATCTCAAATCCAGAACTTAAAAATATATACATACATAATTACAGTATTTCTAAAGGCAGTTCTTCTTTTTCAATCATCTATTTGCAAGCTGAACTATAATAGGCATGCAAAAGCGATCCTTCTCAATCAAGTCAAGCTGTTCTTAGAGCTTCTGTCCTGGGAGGGAAAAGAGACAGGTGGGCAGGTACCTGATGGTTTTCCACACATCAAAGCCATCCAGAGGCTTGGTGCCCTCTGTGCTGCCCCCCGCCAGCTTCACCAGGGTCGGCAGCCAGTCGGAAATGTGGATGAGCTCCCGGTTCTTCACGCCCCTCCGTTTCAGCAAGGGGCCGGCCACAAAGCCCACCCCTCGCACGCCTCCTTCCCACAGGCTCCACTTTCTTCCTCGAAGGGGCCAGTTATTGCCCCCTGCCAATGTCTGCCCACCGTTATCTGAAACACAATTAGGTCATGGCATGAGGACAAGGCTAACTATTAGATACATTTAAGAACAGAAGACTTGGATGCATGTTATTATTAAATGGAGCTTAGGAACTAAGAAAGAAGATTCCTCTTTCCCCTCTCCCATAGCAGCTACCCTCCTCCCACCCAACACAACCCTCCATCCCTCAGACATAACCAGGGCTCAGCACGGCACATGTCTGACACTAGACCTTTAAATCCTCCATGGAGAGGGCCACTGAAAAACAAGGAAGGCCCCTGAGGGGAACTGCTTGGGATAGAGCCCTGTGCTGAGCAATGACTAGGATTCAAATGCATGCATGCAACTTTGTGTAACACAGGAGAGTGAACCCAGGTAGGTGGAGCCCCTCCCCATACATGAAAAGACACCTCTGAATAAGTTTCACTTAGGAACCCAAGGCTCCTAATTAGTGGGGATAGCGAACCTTTTCATTTTCTTCTTGGAAAATTTTTCTCACATTTAAGCTGGTAACAGAATTAACATTTGACTCCCTGGTGATCTGAACTTCCCCAGTGGGTTAAATGTCTCTGTACACAGAACAGTTGGATGGAAAAAAATAATTGCAAGAAAAATTCCTCCCTTCTTGACAGGATGGCAGGACAAAGCTTCATCGTATACTGTATGCCAGGGGAGAGAAGGTTTCTCTCCCAAGACAGCCAAGGGAATGGAGGACATTGGGGAAGCCAGAGAAGATACAAAAGTGACTTCAGTATCTTACCAGCTGGGTGGGGCTCAGAGTTAGAAATTAAGTTGGACTGTAGAAAGTAAAAAGTCATATTTCTTACATACTGAGGTTGTAGAATCATATTATCTCCAAAAGTACTCATACACTTAGGTGACTTTAGAGATATGTTTTAAATATCACTTATTTGCATGTGCATTACACTCCGATTAAATGTTTTCTAAATGTTTCCAAATGAACCACAGGAGGGCAGTATGACAGATGTGCTCTATAGAACATTATGTATAAAGAAATCTAACACAGAAATCAAGCTCTATCAAAGCCGAAGGATGCTCATGGAAGGAAAAAGAACCAGTATTTGTTAAGCACCCACTCTGCACCAGGCACCCTTTTAATTTCACATTATCACAAGACTCTGGAGTCTGATAGACCTGGAATTGAAGCATGATGCCAGCCACTCACTAGGTGTGTGACCCAGGGCAATACACTGCCTCAGTTTCTCATCTTTAATGTAGAGATAATAATTCCTACCTCATTCATGTATTGTGGTGAGAATTAAGTGACATCATTTATAATAATGGTTTGGGGCTGGGTACCTGGCACAATCTAAGTGCTCAATAAGTGGTAGCTAATATTTATAACAATACAAATAGTCTAGTATTATAACTATTTTGTCATGAGAGAGAGACTTGAAAATGCCAAACAGCTAATAAGTGGCAAAGCTAGGATTCAAACAATGTCTGTGTGACTCCCAGGCTCCTCCTGCCCCCAGAGTGCCCTGCTCCTGAGGTCCCTGGTATAGAATGAGTTTTATATCTATATAAAACTTTACTTCTCTATGAAAAACATAAGCATGGTCAATCTCAGCTAAGTTTACACTCTTCCCATGATACAGCAGGAGAGCTATTTCAAGGTGATGATAATTCCCTTACGAGGAGCCTCTGTTGCTGGTGGGTAAGAAATTCAAGGCTCTACTGTCAAGGAGGCTTCTGATCAAGCCCTTAACACACAAGGTCTTCAGTTCTTCTCTGTGCTTCGTGAGGGGGACAAGGAAGGGTCTTGAGCTACATTAGAGGAAGGTAACAGTTCTTCAACACAGGTGGGTGACAATCAATCTCATCATTTGCTATCAGACAAGAACCGTTTCTTAAACCTCACATCTCTTCTTGACAAAGCAAATGGTCACCCAAGCCAGTTTATTAAATACACATTCTATTTCACATGAGCAGACCTGCACGCTCAAAACAGGGGGCACCATCTTTAGACAAAGGGAATTCCTCACACTCCACCGAGTATCAGTCACCAATAACCACTGTATCAAAACTTCAAAGAAGGTGCTGTTCATGTGATACAAAAATACACTGGAAAGAAGTGTTTACACTCTACCTGTGAAGTTAAGAATGGCTAAGACAGCACTATCATTTATTTCCCTGTGCTGTCTGGATTGCTATAAATGATACTGGCTCAGGGCTTGCAGAAGATGCCTGTTGTCTCCATTTTTGATAGATAACACTCCTTTGAAATATTAGATAATGTCTCTTTCAGTTCCACCTATTTGTTACTGCTCAGTACAAAAATGGTGGATGATGAAGATGGTAGAAACAAGAGTGGAGGTGATGGAGAGAAGCGTAGGGTGGGTCTGGACTCTGATCTCAGGCCCTTGAGGTATGACTCAGGAAGGAAAATACTCTGGGCTGTAACGAGAATTTGGCCACAGCTGCTACCGTAGGAGCTGGAAGGTGTTTCCACATCTTATTTGGGAGGTGCCGATGCAGTGCGTGTGACTGTTTTTGCATTAGCTTCTGTGATGTTTCTCCCATTAGCAATGATAAGCGATTCTATCGTCTGTTATCGATGTGGCTTCCTCCATCAGTTTTTTGAGAGCACTCCAGGGAGAAAGCACTGTTAATTGACACACCTGCAACTCATTCTCTTGGGCTCCCCAGTCACAAAGCCAACTGCAGAATCCACTGCATGAAGAGGACAATTCAGCTTTGCCAGGGACCTGGCCAGGCGGCACTGGCTGATGGTCTCCACTTATCAGCAAAAATCCACAGACTTAGGCCTTTGAGAAATAGGGTGCTATCCATTGGCTCTAGTGCATTTGCCCAGGTATTTCAAGGAGTTGGACATAAAACTGATCAGAGTAACAGCAAGAATAAAATCAGCTCATTTGAAACAAGGTAGAGAAGGGGGCTTCCAATATCGTTCACTTAAGTCTGACATAAAGTTCAAAAAGACAATGGAACTACCACCATTTCAAACACGTTTCTTTTCATTTTCTCTCCTAATTTTCCTTTGGGCAAAAGTTAATTTTTGTTCTTGTTAAGAATTAATTTTCAAGAGAAAACGTTCAGGTTTCATTTCCTGGCTGACTTATGAACAAACTTCCAAATCAAAATAAGATGACTCGCCTTTCTGTCTGGCAGCAGCCATGAGGTGAGCCGAGATGCGCGCTTACAAGTACCTCCAGGAGCTATGGAGGAGGAAGCAGTCAGATGCGATGCGCTTTTGCTCAGGGCGCGCTGCCAGCAGTACCGCCAGCTCTCGGCGCTGCTCCGGGCACCCCGCCGCACCTGGTCCAACAAGGCGCGCAGGCTGGGCTACAAGGCCAAGCAAGGTTATGCCATATGTCGGATTCGTGTGCGCCGCGGTGGCCGCAAACGCCCAGTTCCTAAGGGTGCCACCTACAGCACGCCTGTCCTCCATGGTGTCAACCAGCTCGTTTGCTCGAAGCCTTCAGTCTGTTGCCGAGGAGCGAGCTGGACGCCACTGTGGAGCCCTGAGGGTCCTGAATTCTTACTGTGTTGGTGAAGTTTCTACGTACAAATTTGAGGTTATCCTCATTGATCCATTCCATAAAGCTATCAGAAGACACCCTGACACCCAGTGGATCACCAAACCAGTCCACAAGCACAGGGAGATGCGGGGGCTGACGTCTGCAGGCAGGAAGAGCCGCGGCCTCGGCAAGGGCCACAAGTTCCATGACACGATTGGTGGTTCTCGCTGCACAGCCTGGAGAAGGCGCAATACTCTCCAGCTCCACCGCTACCGCTAATATAAGTAATGTTTATAAAATTCTTACCTAATAAACAGTTTAGGACATCCATGTCTGCTTAAAAGGGTTTTTTAATGTCTGTTAAAACTACTGTGCAGATTGTTCATTGAATGTATTGTCAAATTCTGAAAGTTAAAGTGCAATAATATTTGAAGACTTTAAGTGATGGTGTATCTTGTTTCTAATAAGGGAAATGCCTTTGTTTTTGCTTTATTAGGGAGTTGACATGTCCGTGTTTAAAATGCCGTTTGCGGGATTCCCTGGTGGTGCAGTGGTTAAGAATCCACCTGCCAATGCAGGGGACATGGGTTTGAGCCCTGGTCCGGGAAGATCCCACATGCCACGGAGCAACGAAGCCCGTGCACCACAACTACTGAGCCTGCGCTCTAGAGCCTGCGAGCCACAACTACTGAGCCCACGTGCCACAACTACTGAGTCTGCATGCCTAGAGCCGGTGCTCTGTAACAAGAGAAGCCACCGCAATGAGAAGCCCACGCACCGCAACGAGGAGTAGCCCGCGCTCACTGCAACTAGAGAAAGCCCGCGTGCAGCAATGAGGACCCAATGCAGCCGAAAAAATAAAATAAATAAATTTTTAAAAATGCCATTTGGTATAATACGTGTAAAATTCTGTAAAAGAGGAGTGCAGAAACGAGCCATGTAGATTTGTTGGTGCATGTGATGAAATCTACAGCTTTACTGGGGTGATGCAATGCTCTGCTGGTTTACTCTAAAGTGGCTGTTTCATGGAGTTTGGCAAGGACAAACTTTAAATTGGGTTTTCCTTGGAAATGTGAAGGATGTCATGATCTTTATCATGATCATATGCAGAAAAATAATGAAAGTTGACTAGGGCCCACATTTTTAGACTTAATCTGCTATTCCACTTACGTAACTGCTGCTTCCAAAAGGCGAAAAGTAAAGGAATGCCACCATTTTTTATGAGAATTGAATAAACCTGTTGCAAGATGTTTCTCTTACCAATTGAAACAAATCCTGGTTAACCTAAATTAAATTGCCTTGGCCTCCATGGTACCACTGAAGTTCACATAAAAGGTGGGAGTTCCTGATTCAATCCTATGACTCTGGGATCTGTAGAATACTTAACTTCATGCAAAATAGTCATGGTATTTACACTAGTGTATATCGAAACTGATGGAAATTGAACACTAGGTAAATGAGAAGGGAGTTTTTAACCCTAAGGTTTGTAAGCTAGTGATGCTAGGATT